TACAATAATAAATAAGTAGTGGGTGTTAAGTGACATTTAATCAATAAGTGTAATTTATAAGTATTCGGTATAGAGACATTATATCGAACAATATAAGTCATTGTTTATAAAGTTTTAAGTAAATTAAGAAAAACAATATATTTCTAAAGTTACGTAATTTGATTAGAGAGAGAGATGCGTGCGTAGACAGAGAGAAAATTGAAAGAGAGAAATAGAGAGAGAGAAAAAGGAGAAACCGAGAAGGAAATAGAGAGAGACAAAAGAGAGAGAGACACACACACTGGAGACACTCACCTTTGCAGTATGTGGATTCACCTGGCAGTGTCGCCCTGGCTCCTGTCCCACCTCATAGTCCACCTGAGGCTATGAAGAAATACGCTTATATAAAGGTAAGTCGTCCAATTAGGCCCCTTAATGTTTACTGTCTTCATCTCATTAGTGTTCTATCTATCTATCTATCTATCTATCTATCTATCTATCTATCTATCTATCTATCTATCCCTTACACATACCTCCCATTAAGATCATGTCGAGCTAGAGAAGAACCGGTGAGACAGTGGCTGCAGATGAAGGCAGCGTGTGACAAGTGCCATGGGATTGACACTTATGACATCATACCAGACTTCCAGGATATGTTGGTGAGTTTATGACTATGTGGGAGTGTAATTAACCTGTGTAGATTCAGATCATATACCTGTAGATCACCTGTGGTTGTAGTCTTTTGTTTTGGTTAGTTTTAGGATCTACGAGAGTCTTACGTGTAGGATTGTTGATGGTAGACTTTAAATACTTGATGAGCTGTTGTGGTCTCCTGCCTTCACGTCTTAACAGAATGAGTTGAGGAGGAACGCTACCGCCGCCCGATGTACGTCCCAGTGCCTGTCTATTCACCCTACCAGTTCCCCCAGTACCCACAGATGCCCCAGTTCACCCAGTACGGCCAGGTGAACCAGTACAACCCCTACCAGAATGTAGCAGGGATGCGGACGGTGAGTTTGTGTGTGTGTGTGTGTGTGTGTGTGTGTGTGTGTGTGTGTGTGTCGCTTACAGCCGTCGTCAAATTGTCAGAGAAGATATGAAAAAAATCTCAAATAGATACAAAACTATATATTGTACTGGAACAGGACATTTAAGCCATAAGCTGAGTTATGCGTGTTAAACTTGTGTTGAGTGATGATAATGAGCATTTTCATAGACATTGTGCTAAAGCCTTCATGCTCGAAATTGTATAGTTATACCTTAAATATTCTTAATATATCGCCGTTTTCTCTGATGGTTTGATTGTGAATTTATTTTATTAGATGTTTACTTTATTTTACTTTACTTTACTTTATCCTCTCGTCTTGAATGAGCTCACACGGCGCCGCCATAACAAAGTAACAATGAACAGACCAACCACCTGAACAGCCAGTTAGATAATAAATAGTGAAATGATAATATAAAAAATGTGGAAATAATCAACGTTTCCTCCGGCGGTGCTACAGATAGATACATATTTATACAGTAAAATAGTCATATAAGTTTGTATTAATTCAGCTTGTACAGTATCTCAATGTGTCCAGTCTGTGTAAAACATTGAGACCACGGATGATAGATATTGGGACATGCGCTTTCCTGCCCTGTAGTTTAATATAAGTGATGCGCTGTATTTATTCCGTTAATATAATGTTCGGTTACCAACTGTAGTAGGATCAGTATGCCAACAGAGCCACGCATACCAACCCTCCCGGGACATCACGAACAGAGCCACCCATACCAGCCTCCGGGACATCACGAACAGAGCCACCCATACCAACCCTCCGAGACATCACGAACAGAGCCACCCATACCAACCCTCCGGGACATCACGAACAGAGCCACCCATACCAGCCCTCGGGACATCACGAACAGAGCCACACATACCAACCCTCCCGGGACATCACGAGTTACATAGCATTTCGGAAGTCAGATAATTTCTTTTTTGAGATACTAGTCATACACAGTGGAGTACACACACACACACACAATGTACAGTACATAGACCGTATATATCGGTACACAAAAGGTAAATAATCTGTTTTTCCATGACGTTGACAGAAGCGGTTTGCCCCTGAGTCCTGAGAAAGATTGAAACACTGAAGGAGAGAATGACGGCCAAGATCAGCAACATTACCGCGTCCTGGGGAGGTGAAGATGGTGAGTCCTATGGGGGTGAGGAGGAGTCCTTAGTGAGTCCTGTGGTGGGTGAGGGAGGAGTCCTGGTGAGTCCTGTGGGGGGTGAGGAGGAGTCCTTGGTGAGTCCTGTGAGGTGAGAAGGGAGTCCTTGGTGAGTCCTGTGGAGGTGAGAGGAGTCCTTGGTGAGTCCTGTGGAGGTGAAGGAAGAGTCTTTGGTGAGTCCTGTGGGGGTGAGAGGAGTCCTTGGTAAGTCCTGTGGAGGTGAGGAAAGAGTCCTTGGTGAGTCCTGTGGGTGAGAGAGTCCTTGGTGAGTCCTGGGGGTGAGGGGAGTCCTTGGTGAGAGTCCTGTGGGGTGAGGAGTCCTGGTAAGTCCTGTGGAGGTGAGGGAAGAGTCCTTGGTGAGTCCTGTGGGGGGTGAGAGGAGTCCTTGGGTGAGTCTGGGGGGGGTGAGAGGGAGTCCTTGGTGAGTCCTGTGGGGGGTGAGAGGGAGTCCTATAGGATTATCATTATGACAAACATTATTATTCTCAACTTTCCCAAAATAATTTCCCCACAATTTTCCCCACCAATTTTCCCCAACCAATTTTCCCCAACCAATTTTCCCCAACCAATTTCCCCACCAATTTTTCCCCAACAATTTTCCCCAACCAATTTTCCCCAACCAATTTTCCCCACCAATTTTCCCCAACCAATTTCCCAGCTCGACTCCAACAACATGCCGAACTATGCCTACATCGGTCAAGAGAATTCTGAACCTCCCCGTCGACTCCTCAGGGAAGCTGACTTCGGCGAGGCTCTGGAACGATGTAGGGACTTCTCCAATGTGTGTCTGCCGGTGGAAAAGGCGAAGAATCCCCTGAAGAAGGAACTGGGTACTGCCTGGCCTTCCTCAAGTGTATGATGATGAAAGGGGTAGGTGTTGGAAGGAGGAAGGAAGGAGATAGATAGATAGATAGATAGATAGATGGATAGCTAGATAGATTAGATAGATAGATAATGGTTCAAATATACTGTAAATAAGTAAGAGGCATACATAAATAAATGGGTAAATTTATTGGTGGATAGATGGACAGATGAACCGAGAGAGAGTATTTTCAATGACCTTATTCATAAAAGCCGAAGAAATATACACACATACACACTCCCACAGACACACACACACACACACACACTCACCATGTCTACCGTTATGAGGGCAGATTTCACAAGTACGCAGCAGAGATGGGCCTCGGTGACCAAGATGGAGTCCTATCCGACCCTCTCCTCCTTCTGCGGACTTGGGATGAACGCTGACGGACCCCACAGTCTCCTGGAGGATGTAGAGGCCCTTATGTTCTCTGGAGGGACATGGTGTTCTAAGGACGATTCAATGTTTTGGGGAGGTTGGCTATTAGGAAAGGTGTTCTCCAGTAATGTTCTCCAGTAATGTTCTCAAGTAATGTTCTTTAGTAATGTTCTCCAGTATGTTCTCTAGTAATGTTCTCTAATGTTCTCAGTAATGTTCTAATATGTTCTCTAGTAATGTTCTCAAGTAATGTTCTCAGTAATGTTCTCTAGTAATGTTCTCAAGTAATGTTCTCTAGTAATGTTCTTTAGTAATGTTCATAGTAATGTTCTTCAGTAGTGTTCTCTAGTAATGTTCACTAGTAATGTTCTCTAGTAAAATAAATTAATCAATGATGGGCATTGTATTTAAACTTGAAACTCAAACTAATAAATATAATTGGTAAAAATTAATCACGTGTCTCGTTTAACTTATTTATATATATTAATGAGAGGAATTATTTCTATGGGATAATAATAATAATAATATATAATAATAATAATAATAATAATAATAATAACAAAAATAATAATAATAATAATAATAATAATAATAATAATAATAATAATAATAATAATAATAATAATAATAATAATATTAATAATAATAATAATAATAATAATAATAATAATAATAATAATAATCTACGAAGAACTGAACGATGAATTAAATAAAAAAAAGGTGTGGTTATTGCGACATTTGGCAACTCAAGGTCATCAGGGTAGGGCTGAAATTTACCATTCGATCACGACACCGCGTTCAACTTTTATTTAACACACGCTAATACTGTACACGTAACAAAAGAAAAAATAATAAGAATAATATGAAAATAAGATAGAGATAAATAAGAGGAAATAGAGAAAGATAATGAGAACAATTGAAACTATTTGAATGCGACGAAATGCAAAACAACAATAATTAAATATTCAATTATTACTGAATATGGTCATTTCACCAAAGGCTTATGAAAATAATGCCGTTGAGTGGTGAGATTAGAATAGTTTGGTTAGGTTAGGTTAAGTTAGTGTTAGGCTATTAAGTTAGGTTAGATACGATATGTTAAGTTAGGTAAGATTAGGATAGGTTAGGTTAGTGTTGGTTTAAGTTAGATTAGGTTAGGTTATGTTAGATTAGGTTAGGTTAGTGTTAGATTAGGTTAGGTTAGGTTAGGTTAGGTTAGGTTAGGTTAGGTTAGGTTAGGTTGGGTTATATTACACACACATACATACAGACACATTAATACCTACATTATTTCTTCTGATCACTATATGGCAACATCCATCTTCGTGCGCACCTGAGTTAGTGACCAACCGTTGATTGGGTACAAAGTAATGATTAGAAACTCACAACGTCAAGTATATCTTTATCTCTCATCCCAATATCAAACATCAAGCCACAATATATATTTATATTATATAATACGACATATACTGAATATAGCAGCGGTTATATTAGTGTTTATATATTCAAGATAAGAGGGTGGGTTGGTAGGCCTGTAGGGGTGGGCATGGAATATACCCAAGGAAGCGGAGTGAACACGACGCTCCTGGACCGACCAGGGAGTCTCGCGCAGCCTTGACAGTGACAACAGTGAAGAGAAAGGTACCAAGAAGTTACCTTTAACAGTGACTCACCATCGTAAATCGTAACGTAATAAAACGTGTTAAAGTACAAGTAATAAATGATCTTAACTAAGATAAATTAATAATAGTGATTTTTGAATTTGTAAGATAAACCAGAATCAAATCTCTCAGACCTGAAATTTACTCTACTGGTGTAAACAAAACAAAATAAAACCAATTAAAAAATAGTTTTATGAATTAATTTAGTGACAACTTATACAGCGGCAGTTGACCGTCACTATGGCAGCACTGAGGATCGGGTTTATTGGAGCTGGCAACATGGCACAAGCACTGGCGAAGGGGTTCATCTCTGCAGGTAGGTCCTAATAATATATATAATAATTAACGGTTTTATTGAAAAAGCATGAAGGCTGAAAATATACAGTTACATATTTGGGGAATGGGTTACAATTACAAATAATATACAAGTAACATAAGTGACACAAATAAGACATATAATAACTAGATGTGGAAAAGCTCAAACTACAGTTCATTTCAACATAGTAACAGTGTAAGGGTAGTGTTTACTGGGAGTGAATACACTGGTTTATTACAAGTTATTGATAATTTTACAATGGTTGGGACTGGCTGTTCTTATAGCGATCAGTTCGTGCACGTATGGGCTGGATGCGGTTGTGGTGTCGGACAGCAATTCTCGGGCTAAGGGATCTCAGGTGGTAGTAGGAGCCGGTGTCGAGGATGGTGTGAACCTTCTTACCAAATTTGCAGATGAGGTCGTGGTGATGGTCAGTGAGAGTCGAAAGGGTCAGTGTGTTGAGCGCTTCTTGATATGGAGTAGAGAGGAGAGAATAATCTTGCATGCCCTCTTTGCACTTCTTCTAGGTGTTTACGTTGTGTGTGCATTTGGAGGGAAGACCAGGTGGGGGAGGCATAGGTGAGCTGGAAGTATGAATGTTGTGTAACACTGGGAGCTCAGGGTGCAGGAACTACGAGGACTTGAGTCGGCGGAGGAGGTGTGTGATGTGTGTGTGTGTGTGTGTGTGTGTGTGTGTGTGTGTGTGTGTGTGTGTGTGAGATTCGTGCGTGTGTGTTTAATTGGCATCTTTGTCTAACTCTCTCTCTCTCTCTCTCCAGCCTCTTCACCAGGAGGCTGAGATTGGCTTCTATCTGTAATGTGTTCTTATTATCTACCACTGTTATCGTTAATGTTATCTGCTGTTATCACTTGTTATCGTGAGAAAGAGATGATTAGAACCTTTATCATTGGTTTCACTTTGGTTGGAATGGGTTGTTCTTGTAACGATCAGTACGAGGACACACACACGACACACACACACACACACACACACACACACACACACACATGCACACACGCACACACACACACACACACACACACACACACACTGTACACGTGATCAGATAAGCAGCCAAACCAAAGATGGAGAGGTGGGGGAAGGTGGGAGGGGGAGTAGGGAGGTAGGAGGGTGGGAGATAGGGAGTGAAGGTGGGATGGTGGGAGGTAGGAGGCGGAGGAGAGAGGAGAGGGAATGAGGGAAGGTGGGAGGGAAAGTGGAATAGTAGGAGGGGTGGGTGGTGAGGAGGAGGAGGAGAGGAGGGCAAGGCACATTGTGATATACAGAATCGCCTCATCCCCCTCCCCCTTCCTTCTCCCCTCCACCCCTCTTCCTTCTCCCCTTGCCCCTCCCCCTTCCTTCTCCCCTTGCCCCTCAAAGACTTCAGGCCACCTGACTTACTGTATCTTGAACTATGTAATTACTTCATTGAATCAGGTGTGCTTGAGGACATTCTTGCTGTTTATACCAAATTTGCTAGCCCACACTGATTAGTCTTCAATTAGAATATGACTCCAATGTATGTGATCCACTGACCTATATATGCTGCTGGTGAATGTGATGTATTTCCTTCTTTGTGTACGGACCTCTGTCCTGCGTGGCAGTGAACAGTGGCATTACCCACACAAATCTGACCTATATAGTGTCAATGACTATGATGCATTCTTTGTGTACAGACCTCTGTCCTGTATGGCAGTGAAGTAATACACATGAATCTGACCGACGTATATGTATGTATGTGTGTGCGTGTGTGCATGTATATGTACGTGTACATGTATATGTGTATGTATATACGTATATGTATGTATATGTGTGTGTGTGTGTGTTTTACATATATATATGTACTGTCAATGAATATGATGCAACTCTTTGTGTACGAACCTCTGTCCTGCATGGCAGTGAACAGTGACATTATCCATATGAACCTGACCTATATACATTCATAGTTGTTAATGAATATGATGTATTTCTTTGTGTGTGAACCTCTGTCTGCGTGACAGTGAGAAGTGATCCACCCTCAGTGTCAAGACCTGACTGAATTACTTCAGAATAGGCAAACTGTACTACAAGCTCTGCCAATAAATTTGTTAAACTAAGACTAAACCCTCCACCCCCTTCCTTCTCCCCTTGCCCCTCCCCATCTTCCTTCTCCCCTTGCCCCTCCCCCCCTTCCTTCTCCCCCTTGCCCCCTCCAACCCCTTCCTTCTCCCCCTTGCCCCTTGCCCTTCCTTCTCCCCTTGCCCCTCACCCCCTTCCTTCTCCCCCTTGCCCCTCCACCCCCCTTCCTTCTCCCCTTGCCCCCTCCACCCCATTCCTTCTCCCCTTGCCCCTCCACCCCCCTTCTCCCCCTTGCCCCTCCCCCCCCCTTCCTTCTCCCCCTTGCCCCTCCACCCCTTCCTTCTCCCCCTTGCTCTCCTCCCCCCTTGCCCCCTCCACCCCCCTTCCTTCTCCCCTTGCCCCCTCCACCCCCTTCCTTCTCCCCCTTGCCCTCCACCCCCTTCCTTCTCCCCTTGCCCCTCACCCCTTCCTTCTCCCCTTGCCCCTCCCCTTCCTTCTCCCCCTTGCCCCCTCCACCCCCCTTCCTTCTCCCCCTTGCCCCCTCCACCCCCTTCCTTCTCCCCTGCCCCTCCCTTCCTTCTCCCCCTTGCCCCCCTCCACCCCCTTCCTTCTCCCCTTGCCCCCCTCCACCCCCCTTCCTTCTCCCCCTTGCCCCCTCCACCCCCTTCCATCTCCCCTTGCCCCTCCCCACCCCTCACATCTCTCACTTGCTGACGATTCCAAGTTATTCAAGGAAATTAAGGGCCAAACGGACAGTGAAGCGCTACAGGAAGATGTCTCTCAGCTTCAGGAGTGGTCAAAGGCTTGGCTAACAAGATTCAATCAACGTCACGAAGTGCAAGAGGAGGCACCTGGGTCGTACCAACAGGCAGGAGACGTATTACATGTCCCGGCGAGATGAAGTGTGAAATGGACCTAGGAGTGTGTGTTGACAATGACCTGAAGTTCTCGGATCAATGTGAGAAAGTGACTCAAGCAACTCAGCTAGTGGGTCTTATAAGAAAGTGAGATACTTCCCTTCCTGGAGTACTGTCACCCCGTTTGCTCCCCGAGATATGCTAGAGACTGTCAGTTGATTGAAAATGTCCAATGCAAGGCCACCAGACTGGTACCTGCACTACTGCACCTGAGTTACCCAGAGAGATGAGAGCGCCTGCAGTTTCCTGGCTTATACTATAGGCGAACAGGTGGTTAATAAACACCATAGAGAACATTACTTTAGTCGAGTGTCCATACCTGGGACTGGTGGATGGCCGCCCCGCTCACGGCTTAGGGATGAAGAAGCCACAAATAGGAGTTGTTAACTGTTGTAATAACCTGCCAGAGAGTGTTGTGACGGCACCGAGTGTTTAAGACACTTGACCAACACTGCCACAGGCACAGATACATCCTGGAGTCAGTACATGCCCAGCAGCCCAGTTCTTGCCAACAGTCAGTATATGTCTATTGTCCAGTACTAACAAACAGTTTGTAACTTTTACTAACTTGTACTTTTATCCTCTTCACCAATTGATCGCCTCGTTAGCAGCTTGGGCGATCGGTCACGTCTCTGTCACGCACTGTTGGCAAGTACTGGGCATGAATTGGCTCTCTGTTACACTGTTGGCAGGCACTGGGCATGCACCGGCTCCTGAATGTACCTGAACCTGCTCCAGTGTTGGTCAAGTCTGGTCTTGAAAGAGCTCACACTCGGTGCCGTCACAACACTCTCTGGTAGATTGTTCCAAGAGTTCACAACTCTCACTCCGAAAAAGTTTGCCAGTACATGTCGAGTACTTGCAGCTAGTTAGATGATAAATGGAGAAAATTAAAAAAACAAAACAATAATAACTCACCGCCTAAGGCGCTGGCAGACTTATAACAAAAACGAAAATCAAATAGGCTCCAGAGAGAATGGGTCTCTGGTAGACTACAGTAAATAAATCGATAATTCAAGTTTGTCGAATGTTTGTGTTAATGGAACATATTTGTCAAAATTATCCATAAATCACCACACACACACACACACACACACACACACACACACACACACACACACTATTGCATATAACACAATACGTAATATTTATCTTTACAACACCTATGTATTTAAGTGTATGTTTATTTATTGTTTAAACGTGTATGTATGTATGTATGTATTTATGTATGTATTTTCATTCTAATTTCATCACGGTTTAATAATGAAAGGGAGTCCCAGCTACGTTGGGTTAGGTTAGGTTAGATTAGGATAGGTTAGGTTAATTCAGGATAGGCTAGGTTAAGTTAGGATAGGTTACGTTAAGTTAAGCTAGGTTAAATTAGATTTACGTTAGTGTGTTTAATCATCAGGTGAAATAAGCTGAGGTCATCCAGTAATTGGTGTCACTCATTACCTGTGTGTGTGTGTGTTTCAGGTGTCGCCAAGCCGGAGAACCTAGTCGCCTCCTCTCCCCCTGCTGATGAACATTTACTGCAACAGATGAAGGTATGTGAGTACTCCTGTGTTCTACTACTACTACTACTACTACTACATTTTTTTTTTTTTTTTATAACGTGGCTTCCAGCCTCCCCCAATAGCCACACCTTCGCCACCATTTATTTACCTTAATATTAAATATCCTAATACATAAGAAACTATCCTATCTGTGTTAAATTAGTTGAGCCGCAGATCCATGCGGCATTCAGTGACTGTAGCCTCATAGTCGATATCTGCAGCAGTTGTCGGATTAGGGGCAGAAGCTCTCGTTCCCCTGAGGCAGAGCAAAGCCGACCGAAGGAGAGAGAAGGACAGTCGACATCTCATCCAGGCTGTGACATAACTTCTGGGCTGCTGCTTCTGTTCGGAGATCAGCTCCGCGAGTCTGGCGTAGAAACATCTTGCACTTGGGCCCATCCCACCAGAGGTTGTAGAACACTCAGAGGAGTGAAGCCATTTGATTCCTAATATTTGAATTCTCTCCCCATATGCCCGTCTCTTGTCGTTCTCGTTCCTCCTATGTGCAGCATCGAGAGCTAGGTTACGGTGACAAGCGGCCATGGGATCAAAAATCCTGATGTCGAAGAAAGCTCGCTGTCCCTGCGTCCAGAATCCTCGAGCACTGACGTCCACACGGGCTTCGTTAGATGTGTTTGAAGTCCTGTGTTGGAAGATCTCGCCATCCAGTGGAAGGAGGGTCGGTTCTACCATGACGTCCTGGCAGATTTCCTTCAACATATTTGCTGTGAGATCCCTTACCTCGTCATGCCTCATGCATATGAAGCCCCCCTTCTTGCAAACCATGGCGTGATCGCCATCATAGGAATAGCCACACACGCATTGGGAGGGCAAACCATCTACTGGCCAACTGTACCTTAGAGCAATGGCATCTGTAAATTCTTGTTTGTTAAGGCTGAAACCATTTGCCCTTATCGGTAACGTAGTTAGCCAGTTCGAGGCGCCCACCTCCTGCGCTATAGCTACTTTTTTTGTCAACTTTTCTGGAACCAGCAGCAATAGTTGCTGCAACATGTCATTTTGGCAGTTCTGCCGATCTGTTGTAATGGACCTACGGATCTTATTAACTTCGCTGGTGTCCACTTCCCCTGTTGCATTCTGGGCGATTATGTGGTCAGTGAGGGCTGCCAGAGCTTAAGGGAATTTTTGATGTCTGAGTTTGGCACCTCCTCTGATTGTTAACCCATCCTCCTAGTCTTGGTGGGAAGTGCATATGTTCTTTCACTAGGTTAAGTCGTGGTGGTTTCACTAGTTTGGGAATGAATTTGACACTGATTGTTTCTTCCAAAGGGTGGAGGAGGGTTTGATTCAGGATGGTACGCATCAGGTAGTTCCAATTGATGCTGATCTATGTGTAATGCTGTGCTGCATGTGGGTTCTGTGGCAATTTCGATAGGTTATGGGATTTCCGCTAACCCACCCATTCACTTTTCCCTACGGCCTGGTCTTGAAGTCCGTGAAAAGCCACCACGCGCCCAGATGTCTTGGCCGTCCTAGTTATTTGATCACTGAAAAACTCCCACTGCCCGGATCATAATGCATCTGCTTCACGAGGAGAAGTGATTTACAAGGCTAGGTGGCAATCTCATGTGATTCCAAGGATGTTACCAGGTCCCACCACTTTTTGATGTCCTCCACTTTTCCTGCTCCTGTGAGGTCATCAGCATATGCCACTTGTTTGACCCCAGTTGTTTCATACTTTATTTCTTGTTGGAGCACTGATAGGCCTATTGCATACATTGCTACTACTACTACTACTACTACTATTGCTACTACTACTTTTTTTTTTTATAACGTGGCCTCCATCCTCCCCCTTATAGCCACACCTTCGCCACCATTTTATTACCTTAAAATTAAATATCCTAATACATAAGTAGCTATCGTAGCTGTGTTGAGTTAGTTGAAGTATAGTGTATTATATTATGAAGTTTGAAATGTTGTGTATTATTTATGGTGTATTTTGTATGACTAAGACTGTATAATACACCAATATTCATCACCTCATCACGCGTAGGTCCTAGGATGCACCACGACACACAACAACCAAGAAGCCGCCGCGGACACAGACATAGTAGTGATCTGCGTCAAACCTAATATCATAGGTCAAGTCCTCCGTGACCTGCACCCGTGTGTGACCCTCTCCCGACCTCTAGTGACCTCCGTGGCTCTAGGAGTGACACTAGCTGACATCGAGACTGCCCTGCCCCCGGAGAGTAGGGTGATAAGGGTCATGCCCAACACCCCTGCCCTGGTACAGATGGCTGCGTCAGTGTTTGCCAAGGGTCGACACGCTACTCTAGATGATGCCCGGCTGACCCACAGGTACGTTGATGTTGTATGGTGCTGGGATCCATCTTTGTGTCGTAGCTTAAGTGAGTCAGTTAGATACGTTCTCACATCACAAGTTAGGAGGAAAGTTTGGCGTAGGAACCTTTGAGAATCCATCTTTGCTTCTCCATCAGGATGCTCTCGGCTGTGGGAGAATGTGACGAGGTGCCTGAGACCTTCTTGGACGCCGCCACGGGACTAAGCGGTTCTGGTCCTGCCTATGTAAGTCTCAAAAGTCTGCCTTTATAGTAATCATTTTATTTGCCTGTTTTTAACCTCTTGAGTACGACGACTATACCTCGAGTACGGAGACAACACCTTGAGTACGGAGACAACACCAGTAACCCCGTTTTCTATACCAGAACAGGACTACTTAGCCATGTTGCACAATTCGTTCAGTTATCCATTAAATTTCCTATTCAAGTGTCTCGTTTTCTTTGGTTGCAGATGTACGTGGCCCTGGAGGCGCTGGCTGACGGTGGTGTCAAGATGGGACTCCCTCGATCCTTGGCCCTTAAGTTAGCTGCCCAGACCATGATGGTAAGGAGATAAGTTTCCCTCAGACGGGATAATATTGGTAGGGTAAACGTCAGGTTAGGTCAGGTCAAATATGCGTCGGCTATATGACCTAGATCCGACTTTGTATAGCTGAGCTGACCCATGACCAGAGACCCAAGGCACTGAATAAACTGGACGTGGTATTGAGTCACCTACTATGAATGGATTTTTTGTATTCGTTCTAATATGCCCAGTCCAATTCTCTCTAAAGTTGTGTTAATTTCCATCTCTCATCTACCGGTAACCTCCCAACACTGAGGTAAAAAATAGGTATTATAATTTTTTTTTTGTTAACCTAACTAGACAGTGGACTGGGGTGGTTATTCTTCAGGTGATCTTCCTTTACATATCTGTCTGTGTCTCGTTTCTCTTATTATTATTATTATTATTATTATTATTATTATTATTATTATTATTATCACTATTATTATATTATCATTATCACACCTGTTCGGCAGGGGTCAGCGAAGATGGTGTTAGCCACAGGTAAACATCCGGGCCAGCTGAAGGATGACGTCTGCTCTCCTGGGGGTGAGTCTTATATCTAACCTAACCTAACCTTACCCAGCCTCACTAACCTAAACAATAGTGTGTAAATAACGCTGTGTTTATTCGTCTACTCGCCCACTGCCCTGACTTATGTGTGGATCATATACAGGGGAAAGTTGTGGAGGCAAGTGTACCAGTTAGGTGGACAATTTAACGTAGGAACCTTTGAGTACTCATCTTTGTGTCGTAGTTTAAGTGAGTCAGTTGGATACGTCCTCACATCACCATGAGTTAATTAGATAATAGGTATAGTGTGTGTGTGTGTGTGTGTGTGTGTGTGTGTGTGTGTGTGTGTGTGTGGTTTACGCTAATATGGCCCGTGTCTGTGTTCACTATAGGCTGCACCATCCAGGGGGTCCACACACTAGAGCGAGCTTGTCTGAGGGCAGCGCTCATCGATGCAGTCCAAACTGCCACTGCCACCTCTATTTCTGCTGCCGCCGGGAAGTAGTTACTGTCATCGGAATGTAACTATTGTCGTGCACTTAATTTGGTTCATCTTTCCTGACGCCGGGATGCAGCTCCTACTATCTGCCTCCCCGCCCCTCCACACTCAGTCATCAATAGTTATATATACTTGCGTCAGCACAAACACACAATTTGTATAAGGATATGTTACTTTGTTATGTTATATTTGGATTTTAGTATTTTGTAATTTTTTATTATATATATATAGATAGATAGATAGATAAATAGATAGATAGATAGTGTGTGTGTGTGTGTTTTACAGTACAATGTTTTTTCCACACTAGCTAAAAATGTTCAATCAATATCACTGATTTTGTACTGCTCTACTGGACTGTACTACACTGGATTGTAAGGTACTGTACTACTGCACTGTACTGTAATACGTTACTACTCTGCACTGTTCTGTACTATACTATAATGTGCTGTAGTATACTGTACAGTACTGCATTTTATTGTACTATACAGTGCAATAAGGAACTGAACAGCACTGAACTATGCTGTATTGTTGTTTGAATTTACTGTACTGTAGTGTATTGTAATATAATGTACTATACTTCACTGTAATATAGTGTATTGTACTATACTGGACTGTTATAATTTACCGTACTAAGGATATACTGTAATGTTGTGTATTATACTGCACTGTAATGTACTTTTTATACGCACTAATGTATGTTGTGTAGTGAATTGTCATACACTGTACTGTACTCTGCTGTTCTTACATATATAAACAGTACTTCATATCAGACCTTTGTTTATCTTTAGTTTTTACTGTACAAGTTATCAGGATTTACTGTAATTTACAAGAGCTAAGCCTCACCTAACCAACCCTAACCTAACCAAACCTACAAACGACTGAAAGTGTCAATATTCTCTGTAGACCCTTGTGTGCATATTAACTTGTAGCGTGAGTCACTTAACTACTTGAAGACACCAAGTGGCGGAGAGCTTGTTGAAACACAGCTGAAGGTTTGTTCTTTATTTATGGCGCTCAACACTTTATAAACAGTCTTAATTACGGGTAGCAATAGTTGTGAGCGCCGTGGTAGGACTTTTGGGGTCATAGTAAGAGGGTAATCAGTTGATCTTCAAACCTACTGCGGCCGAGGGATATTTATACAAGTGGGTAATCCTGGAGGAGATGATTAACTCCAGAAGGCGTTGTTCAATTTTGTTCACCTCTCCACAGATGTTCTTATCATTATAGTAAATATTTTAAAAGAGGTGACATTTGCTAGAACCTGACCTAACCAACCAAAGAAACCTACCTAACCTGACCTAATTTCCTTGCCTGAGGTCCCCCGTCACATTAAACAGGAAGTGCTTGTTTTAATATATTTCTTGAGGCGTCATGGTGTAATATTCTGTTTCTTTGTGGACGTGAGATTTTCTGAGGAGTATTTACGGTTAATTAATTTTTCACGTACAAAGCACGTACAGACATAATTATAGTGTCATACCATCAGTTTTTCGACGTGTTTTACCCTGCAGTTTCCCTCATCCTTCATGCTCTGCCCACTGCGGGTGATTTATGATCGTAGAGAAAAACTATATAAAATACTGTATCAAAATAAAAAGTTGTCGCCTCTTAAAATACTTACTATAGTGATAAGAACATCTGTGTTATCAATGAACTTACATAACGGTGCTAGAACAAGCCACTTAAGGTATAGAGGGTCACTTAAGGTACAGTAGATAAGTGTCACTGTGGCTGTAACTTAGCCTTGAGAATCTCGCCGAAGCTATTGGCTCCTTCACCGTTGGCTTCAGCGTAGCCTGGCATGGTGCTCTTACACCTGGCCAGCCACTTGACCACACGAGTGTACTTATCAATCTCTACACCAGCCGCCACTATTGTTGACACAGTGGCCACCAGGCACATGTCCGCCACCGTCGTCTTGTTGCCGGCGGTGAAGGCGTAGTCCATGAGGAAGGTGTTGAGCCAGCCAAGAGCCTCGAGTAACTTGTCCAGTTTCTCAGGGCTGGTGGTGCCGCCCCTCAGTACCGGATACTGTCAAGCATACAGTTACCTTAGGTTAGTGTAAGCTGGGTTATTAGGTTAGGTTAGGTTAGGTTAGGTTAGGTTAGGTTAGGTTAGTTTAAGTTATGGTGGGTTAGGTTAGGTTGGGTTGGGTTAGTGAGGTTAAATGGGTAACAAAATATTTTTATAATGTGTAATACATGATGCAAAGCGATATAGCTGTTGCTTAAAGGTAATTGATAATAATAAACTATGATGTGCAAGGAGGGACAGCTGCTCCACCACCCTACTCCTGCGTGGGGTTGGCGGTGGACAAATTACTACAGACCATTACAGAGTAGAGTAATGTTGTGTCGTCTTACTCCATGAGGCGAGTATGATGAGAATACACATACAAGAAGTGATACTCAAGCAACGGTCACGAGCATGTGAAGTAAAATAATTTGTTTGATAATCCATTATCTGAAGTAGACCACGTCAGCGTGTGAAAATAACATTTATTCTAAATAACACTTAATAATGTGAACGAGTAGCAGAGATTAATAAGACCTTTAAACAACAGCTTTATCGTTTGGCATCATAAATTGTACAGTTAATAAAATAATAATAATAATAGTATTATTATTTTGTACCCAATTAACCTCCCTCCCTCTTTGGCACAACTGAACTATGTGCGGATTCTACACCGGACAGCCGCCAACTGAACTATTTTGTTCATGTCCAGTTTGTATTACAATAAATGTGTTACCCACTTCCTGACTGTTTTAATTGCATTAATCCCTTCGGTACGATGTATTTTAACTATTTTATTATGGCTGCTGCCAGTCAAAGGGTTAGCAAAACTTCATTGTTTCTACAAGATATATATCCAAATACTGTTTATCCATAATCCATTTGCTTTTAAATGCCCAATTTTGCAAAGGAACTCCTTACCTAGATCATGAATTCTTCCCTCCCATTCTATTGTAACTTCCTTCATCTGGCTAGCACTTGACGATTACTTTAGCAGAGGAACCCCGCCATGCAGTATTGTCAAAATGTTATCTTGCATTGTGATCTCTTCCAACTGATACACAGCACATTTTTTGTCTCATCCCTCTACTTGTACCCTGCCTCCTCACCACAGCAAGACACCTACCCCGACACACCTCCCTCCCTCCCTCCCGCTTGACCAGTTTGGGGGTTCAGACCTCGGGGAGAGGACTGGCATCGCTAAGTGGTAAAATCAGGAGTGGAATCAACTGTACTGTACACCCACCCATATCTTACAGCATACTCCGCCCATCGGTGATTAAGGTCCCCATATCAAAGTCAAGTCGAGCGTCTACCAGACAACGCGCTCGTGGGTTGCTGGGGTAGAGGAGTCGTTCTTACCGTACTGTGTCGCTAAGTAGGTGCAGATAGCGCGGCTGAAAATACGGTCAGCATTACTACCATACCATAACTTATCACTACCATACAATACCGTCACACTATACAATACCACGTCACTACCATAACTTATTACTACCATTAAAGTAAAATAACCCATCTTACTCTCCCACAACTTCAGGTTACCGTCAACCATGGTAGGGATGGTGTGTTGTGGGTTAATAGCTATGAACTCTGGCTTGAGTTGCTCGCCGGCCAACACATCGACTTTCTTGAGCGTTAGGGAGAGGTTGAGCGCCTTGGCAGTAAGCAATACGGCCCTACTTGGCGGTGATAGTGGGTGGTAGTACAGGACGACAGCCATTGTTGCTTCTGTGGGCGTGAAGAATATATTTATACTATCTGTCTACTACCAACCTCCACCCAGAGATGATATATATATTTTATTTTACTGATTAGATAATAGACATATTACCACCACTACTATCCATGGATGGGAGGGGGACTCCTACGGGTTCCGGACCCTCTTTTTCATCAGGTGTTGGAGGAGTATGAAGGAGTACAGTACCACCATTACCACTACCACTACTACTAAACACTATTACAATCACTGTCACTACAAGTACTACTACAATCATACCACCACTAACACCATCACCACACTGCCACCACTACAGCCATCACAACAGAATCACTACACCATACTACACATATCGTTATACCTTTACCACACCACACTACACTATACCACACTACACATACCTTTATACCTTCAACATTACACCACACTACACTATACCACACTACACCTACCTCTGTACCTTCAATACACCACACACTACACCACACTACACACCTACCTCTGTACCTTCACTACACCACACTACACCACAAGACGTTTATCTATCAAGACAGCGTACTGTTCTTGGATGTGATATGCTTCACTTAAGATAACCGATCACACACACAGTTGCAGGGGACATATGTTTTTGTGAATGTTTGTTCTGTGTACGTGAATGCTTCTCTGTATGTGTGTGTGTAAATACTGTATTATATAAAGAGTTTCTCAAAACCTACACAAACAAAAATATTACAATAACGATAAAGATAAGAACAGAAAGGTGTTTGGTTCATCAACAATATTGGAAGTTTCTAATATATGAAGAATACTCATTACAGATTTGCTCTGAATTTTCCTGTAATACGTCTACTGTAATTATCAAGTTATTAAAAATCTTATATGCAGATATTAGAATTGTTAACCTGACTAACCAAGTGCAGTTCAAGATTACAGCAGTGGAATCTCCTGCGCAAGTTTGGTAATTACACTATTCAAACAACATTTAATAAAATATAATAGCAAAAACTCTCAATGTAAAGTTACGAAAAATTATTAGAACTTGAATTAACACAAGAGTGAGGGAAACGTTTATTGGTTCTGAGGAGTGGAAACGCTTACGATTTTCTTCTTTGTGGTTCTCGCAATTTAAAAAAATATATATAAGGATTGGTATCAAGAATAAAAATGATTATTGATATATTATAGACACTTTTTCTCTTCCATTATATGAGATATTACGTAGATGGTTTATAAGCGAGTGAGAGGTTCTGGGGTGGTTGGTGTTGTCTTCTTGGCCTCACAACAACCTATAGTAAACAAACACAATGGCGGAGGATTTGGGTCAGAGTTTACAGACTTATACCGTTCAGCTGGAGCAGGTGAGTGTGTTGATGGAGTGCGTGGTGAGTGTGGTGATGAGGTGGTGATGAACAGGTGAGTGTGGTGGTGGTGAATGTTCATGGTGGTGAGTGTTGGTGGAGTGTGTGTGTGTTGGTGATGGAGTGCGTGTGTTGATGGAGTGCGTGTGTTGGTGGTTGGAGTGTGTTGATGGAGTGCGTGTGTTGGTGATGGAGTGCGTGTGTTAGTGATGGAGTGCGTGTGTGTTGGTGATGGAGTGCGTGTGTTGATGGAGGCGTGTGTTGGTGATGGAGTGCGTGTGTTGATGGAGTGCGTGTGGTGATGGAGTGCGTGTTGTTGGTGATGGAGTGCGTGTGTTGGTGATGGAGTGCGTGTGTGTTGGTGATGGAGTGCGTGTGTGTTGGTGGTGATGGAGTGTGTGTGTGTTGGTGATGGAGTGCGGTGTTGGTGATGGAGTGCGGTGTTGGTGTGGTGATGGAGGTGTGTTGGTGATGGAGTGCGTGTGTGTTGGTGATGGAGTGTGTGTGTGTTGGTGATGGAGTGCTGTGTGTTGGTTCAGGAAGACAATGTGTAGATCAAGAGTTAACGTAAGTATGTAGCTAAATGAAGTACCTGGTAATTTATATAGGACTAACCCGTGAGTGAAATTGATTAAAAACAATTATAAAACTCTGGATTTTCATTGTTATATTATA